TTCAATCCCATGGCCGAAGTCCAAAAATCAGTTTAATATATGAGTTAGGCATTGCCTAACATATCAGATATTAAGCTGATAAGAACAGAAATTTTTTATTAACAATAGAGAAATAACTTTTACATTTTCGATCTATATGGTAGTTATGGTAACTAATTATAAACTATTACACTAGATGTATGAATACATTGAAAGAATTATAAGTTACTGGAATATAGAGATCAGTGTTAAAAAACTGAATCGCTAAAGTTCAAGAATACTTAGATTAAGTGTTCGTATGATAAGATATCAACTGTTCGTGATTGTGATAGACCACAAGATTCAAAGAAACTATATGTTTGATTAGCAACTAATTTATCAATAGCTTTACTGAATTTTTTAAACTTTTCAGTTGTTAGAAAATACTGATTTGGAACTTGGGTATCATTATAATTATATGCCAAATGTTGTTTAGCTATATTAATCACTATATTTGCAGAGGTTGCCATTTTCTTGGAGAAAGATTTACCAAAGTTCTCAACGGGTGTTAAGTTTAATTTTGGGCATTCAATGGAGTGAAGTTGGGAGAGATAGGAAGGAATATCAGAATTGCATAATCGACAGCGGCCATTAAGTTTCATGAATTCCGCATCAATATCATCTTTGAGAAAACCATTTGACAAAGTTAATTTCTTTGGAGGACGACCGAAAGAGTTTTCATTAGGGAAAAATTCATTCAGTGGCTCATAGTCAGGATCAGAATAATATTCACTGTCCTCGATATTATCTTGCGGCTTCGCCTTGTTCGAATTAATTGTTAATTTCCCGGTCGCGTGACTTTCAAGCTCATTCACGGGACTGGATTGCTTATTAACCTCGCAGGGTATATTAACTTGTTGACTATTGACTATAATTTCGGAATTTTCATGAAGTTCCGTAGGTATTTCAACACTCGATGTTGGCTGGGTTTTCTGCTCACCGTTTTCACATGTAGATATAACTTTCACTTCGTTTAAAGTCGACTCAAACGGCACCGCATTAGCATTCAGATTGAGATTAACATCACTTGTATTATTCGGCTTAGAATTATCCGTATATTTAGCTTTATTTGAAACATCTACGCGAATAACTTGATCCGGTTTTGGTACAGGCATGTTATTTGAATTTGGCTGACGAAAAACATCATTTCGTTTACTGGAAACCTTGTGAGATTGAAATACAAGTTTCTTTGTAGGCCAGACTTGCGAATTTGATAGTCGCGAATTGTTATTGTTATGACTGGAATTAAAACTGTGATAACCCGAATCCCCAGCACTTTCCCGAGGTACAGACGGACTATTTTGATTGTAGCTTGAAGTAGACAAACTGCTTCGACCATGTACCGGAGTAGAAAACGACGAAGGATCACTAGGCGAAATATTAGAGTTCAAAGTAGCAATAACTTTCCACTCAACATGTAAAATCAGTCTATTTTTCGCGAATGACGTAGACCATGTGGGTTGCTCGATATTATACAAGGAAATAGCGTTTAAAACAGCTTTAGGATATAGTTCTGTAGATATATTAGGGCTTTCAGAAACCATCCATTCGACTTTCACTTTTAGATTGTTTGATTTAACATTAATATCCCACGATAATACATTTGAAATATTGCATCCTTCGAGTACGGAAGTAACAGCATACGGCATCGGAAAATATGAAGTTTTAATATAGGAATCAACGCGATAATTCTTCATAGTTGGCGAGTTTGGAGTAGGTAGAAGACCATTTCTAGACGAGTAGACCATGTTGAGTCGACAACTGATAAAACAACACAGTAGAACAGGGAAAAAAGTTCGGAATATGCAGATTCGCAACACGACAAAATATGTCAACAATAGAATAATCACTCCTCGGAATCGAAAGTAGTTGATATTTCAGTGAATTTCCAACCAATTTCAACCAAATTTGTATCAAAAGAACCAGCAGGCCAAACGAAATAAAACGATATCAAATTTGCCACGAAACCACGTCTTTAAGCGACTAGAAAAGCGAAGAAACCAGGAGCCGAAAAAAAACCTTTGATCTTAGCCAAAAGGCCGAGAAGCGATGCCTTCTTCGCCGTCTGCCACACATATTTCTACCGAACACTTGTGCTACGAAAACGCGGTGAGAAGGAGCTCGCTTGCGAGCGATTATGACGTCGACAGGCGCCTGGTTACTCGTCGCACGAGCGCGGCAAGTCCGTGATGATCGCCCACCGCGACTCTGGCGGTTCTCTCGCGCACGCGCGTGCGGTCGCGTAGAGGGGCACGGCGGCCGTGTGGCATCGAGCGTGAGACGAGAGTTGCGAGCGTATCGGCTTTCGCGCTCTTCAAAGATTCACGAATGCGTCGAGCTTCTTTCACTCGCAAACTTTGTTGTGACCCGGAAAGGTTTCGGGTCACGCGGCGTGGAATAATGCGATTTTGGAATATTCACTCGGTATTCTATAAGTTCGACCGGCAAAACACGTGCGTTTGAGAGTGGACACGCGAGGCAGCCAGTTAATGGGCACTTGGAATGTACGTGCGATGGCTTGAAATTCCGTTGGCAAGCAAGTGACTTTAATATACAGCAGCGAATTAATTGAATAGTGTGTGCAAACACCCGAAGTGCTTACAAAATATAAACACGTGTATAGCTCTTTACTTACCATGTAATATGAACTGGAGATGGAGAGATTTCGGCACGGAGAATATATAAAGAGTGTCTTCTGTGATAAACGATATGTTTGACATAGGATTCTATACAAAAACAATCGACACACACGGCGGTGTTAAGAAACGAACACGGGCTTTATACATGAATATTATATGTTGAAGGGGACGAGCGCGAACGCAGGTCCCCACTACCCGAAATTATACGCTCGAGTTACCCACATTAGGGGTAATCGCAGGAGTCAACCCAGTCGAAGTGCAATGAAAGGGCCTCATCCTGAGAGGACCTCCTAGTTGATCAAGGTGCCTCTCGCGTCAGGTAAGTATGCTGTTGTTTGCGCCGCTCACCTTATATACGCGATGATGATGACACGCGATTGTGGTACTTCGGGGGTTTCCCTCTTGTCTTGAACGTCATGTGCCGCGATCTAGAGAATGAAAAAGTATGTTAGTTAAAATTAGATGTAGTTGATTCGGTTCATAGCTGAACGAAAACACGCTCACAAGGCCGGTGTGAAATATCGGCATAGGATAAATAATAAAGTGTTACAAGTCATATGATATGTATGTTATATATGCATGAGAAAGCCATGATATATTATTTCACGTGGTATTCGAGTATGGCGTTAATATAAATCGATCGGCATGTGAAAAGTACTCAAGTGTGTGTAATCGTCTAATAAAGTAGAGATTGCTTTATAGTTTGATTTGAAATAAAAACAATGTTCTTCCCCGAGTGGGGAAGGGGCCGTACTCGGATGTAGTGCAATACCGAGACAACCCGTGGCCAGGGCGAAGCAAGCTTCAATCCCATGGCCGAAGTCCAAAAATCAGTTTAATATATGAGTTAGGCATTGCCTAACATATCAGATATTAAGCTGATAAGAACAGAAATTTTTTATTAACAATATAGAAATAACTTTACATTTTTGATATATAAGGTAGTTATGGTAACTAGTTATGAACTATTACACTGGATGTAAGAATACATTAAAAGAATTAGAAGTAACTGGAATATAGAGATCAGTGTCAGAATCGCTATTTTGGGATATAGTGGATAAATGTTTGTACCTAATGTTTTTACAATTAGGATTTGTAGTTTAGGATATTAGATCTACTTTGAAGGCCGGAAATATTACATTTGTTGAAAACTATAGTAGCTCTCTTATTTAATAGAAGTTCTATATCAGAAATGCATTGTTTATAAGAAATAATTGATGGAAAGACAGCGTTAGTATAGTCCTCTTCAAGTTCAAATTGGCAATAATTACGGACTTGATCCATAACATCCTCTTTATCACCGCGAATGTTTTTTGCTGTTTTAGCCACAAGGGAAACCAGATCGTTGCCATTAAATTCAGGACAGTCTAATAAATGTTCGTCAACATCATATGATTTAACGGTTTTATGGCATAACCTGCAGCATCCTTCAAGATTCATGAAATGGGCTTTAAAGGTAGGATCAATCAAACCATTTTCGTCAACTCGAAAGTTCTCGGGTGTTTTAGTAAAAAGACCTTCATATGGGTTAGCCTCAGGACTTAATGGATCAGGTATAAGCATGATCTGATCATCAGTTGAATCATTGTGAACAATAAACTTTAGGTCAGCGGATATCATGCTCACTTGCTTAGTAGAAGAAATAGGGAGAGGGTCGGTGGTTGAAATATTTGGAGTAGGAAATGGAGAGGATTTAACTTTTTTGCCTTTTTTTTTCTTTTTACTAGGTTTCTTGAGGCAGGAAGGATCATAAGCAGGTAAGGTGGAATTCTGGGAAGTGGGGTCTTTGGAGGGGGGTAGGGAGGGGGGGGTGGATGAGGTGGGTTGAGGGGTGAGGGTATCATCAGGTAAGTTCGGGGAAACAGGTAAGGTGGAATTCTGGGAAGTGGGGTCTTTGGAGGGGGGTAGGGTGGGGGAGGTGGATGAGGTAGGTTGAGGGGTGAGGGTATCATCAGGTAAGTTTAGGGAAATGGGAGGGGAGGGGGGAGGGGGGAGTGATGAGGTAATGGGGGATTCTGAGGGTGGGGAATTGGTTACTGGAATATGATCAGCTGGGCTTATAGCGGCTGGGGGGGTGGGCTCTGGAATATGATCAGCTGGGTTTGTAGAGGTTGGAGGGGTTGACTGAATGTTGTCATGGATTAATTGATCAGGAAAAGAAATTATTAAAGTTTTAGAATCGGTTACATCAGGCGATGACTCACTCACGAGACTTGTATGACCTTGACCTTCGATAATCATGGATTTATCTTTATACTTCGGTGTTGTGGTGGTTTTATGAATAACATGGGTAGGTCGATAAAGGTCTTGTCTATTGATCGGATTTTTAGATTTAAACAATTCCGTGCAAGGAAGGGGCGAATTATTTCGATTAAGATGATTGTTTACATCACGCGACCAATTTGTATATTTTGGTGACACATTATACACATTCTGCGAGCAATATCCCGAGTCCGGATTGAAACTTGGCGAAGAGGGATTAACAGGCGTAGAAATGTTAGGTAAATTCACACGAGTATTTGGCGAAACGGGAAAAAATGGTGAAGAGCTTGCGTTGAGAATCGACGTATTATTAATGGACAGTTCGGAATTTTGTATTTTCCAATCTAATTTTAAACATAGTTTCTGACCATTAAATGAAGTATTCCAAGCTGGATTTTCAAGATTAAATGTTCCAATAGATTCGAGGATTGATTTCGGGAATATATCAGCGACATTGTTCGAATAAATTTGTCCACAAAGATCCCATTCGGCTTTAAACTTCACGGTTTTCGCCGTAACATTAATATCCCAAGTTGGCTTGCTTTGAATGTTAAAACTTTCGATTATATTCATAGCTTGAAACGGGATAGGGTAATAGGATCTCTTGATATAGTCTTTAGCGTTGGAAGAGTGAATTTTCGGACCATTAGGGGAAGGTAGAAGACCAGATTTTGACGAGAAAGCCATATTGTAGTATAAGCGTATAATTACAAAACAACAACAACGCACGTAGAAATCGAAAGTTAACGATATCTTGAGAAATCTTTGGCCAAATTGAACGAAATAAACACCAAAAGATGCAGAATTTTCTTAGAAACAAACCAATAGTTTAGACGGCAGTAGAGGACCGGTATTTTCGGAGGAAATTGCAAAAATATCACGAGCCGATTAAACGCCAAATTTGTCGCTACACTTGATCTTAGCCAAAAGGCCGAGAAGCGATGCCTTCTTCGCCGTTTGCCACACATATTTCTACCGAACATTTGTGCTACGAAAACGCGGTGAGAAGGAGCTCGCTTGCGAGCGATTATGACGTCGACAGGCGCCTGGTTACTCGTCGCACGAGCACGGCAAGTCCGTGATGATCGCCCACCGCGACTCTGGCGGTTCTCTCGCGCACGCGCGTGCGGTCGCGTAGAGGGGCACGGCGGCCGTGTGGCATCGAGCGTGAGACGAGAGTTGCGAGCGTATCGGCTTTCGCGCTCTTCAAAGATTCACGAATGCGTCGAGCTTCTTTCACTCGCAAACTGTGTTGTGACCCGGAAAGGTTTCGGGTCACGCGGCGTGGAATAATGCGATTTTGGAATATTCACTCGGTATTCTATAAGTTCGACCGGCAAAACACGTGCGTTTGAGAGTGGACACGCGAGCCAGCCAGTTAATGGGCACTTGGAATGTACGTGCGATGGCTTGAAATTCCGTTGGCAAGCAAGTGACTTTAATATACAGCAGCGAATTAATTGAATAGTGTGTGCAAACACCCGAAGTGCTTACAAAATATAAACACGTGTATAGCTCTTTACTTACCATGTAATATGAACTGGAGATGGAGAGATTTCGGCACGGAGAATATATAAAGAGTGTCTTCTGTGATAAACGATATGTTTGACATGGGATTCTATACAAAAACAATCGACACACACGGCGGTGTTAAGAAACGAACACGGGCTTTATACATGAATATTATATGTTGAAGGGGACGAGCGCGAACGCAGGTCCCCACTACCAGAAATTATACGCTCGAGTTACCCACATTAGGGGTAATCGCAGGAGTCAACCCAGTCGAAGTGCAATGAAAGGGCCTCATCCTGAGAGGACCTCCTAGTTGATCAAGGTGCCTCTCGCGTCAGGTAAGTATGCTGTTGTTTGCGCCGCTCACCTTATATACGCGATGATGATGACACGCGATTGTGGTACTTCGGGGGTTTCCCTCTTGTCTTGAACGTCATGTGCCGCGATCTAGAGAATGAAAAAGTATGTTAGTTAAAATTAGATGTAGTTGATTCGGTTCATAGCTGAACGAAAACACGCTCACAAGGCCGGTGTGAAATATCGGCATAGGATAAATAATAAAGTGTTACAAGTCATATGATATGTATGTTATATATGCATGAGAAAGCCATGATATATTATTTCACGTGGTATTCGAATATAAATCGATCGGCATGTGAAAAGTACTCAAGTGTGTGTAATCGTCTAATAAAGTAGAGATTGCTTTATAGTTTGATTTGAAATAAAAACAATGTTCTTCCCCGAGTGGGGAAGGGGCCATACTCGGATGTAGTGCAATACCGAGACAACCCGTGGCCAGGGCGAAGCAAGCTTCAATCCCATGGCCGAAGTCCAAAAATCAGTTTAATATATGAGTTAGGCATTGCCTAACATATCAGATATTAAGCTGATAAGAACAGATACTACACTTGATCTTAGCCAAAAGGCCGAGAAGCGATGCCTTCTTCGCCGTTTGCCACACATATTTCTACCGAACATTTGTGCTACGAAAACGCGGTGAGAAGGAGCTCGCTTGCGAGCGATTATGACGTCGACAGGCGCCTGGTTACTCGTCGCACGAGCACGGCAAGTCCGTGATGATCGCCCACCGCGACTCTGGCGGTTCTCTCGCGCACGCGCGTGCGGTCGCGTAGAGGGGCACGGCGGCCGTGTGGCATCGAGCGTGAGACGAGAGTTGCGAGCGTATCGGCTTTCGCGCTCTTCAAAGATTCACGAATGCGTCGAGCTTCTTTCACTCGCAAACTGTGTTGTGACCCGGAAAGGTTTCGGGTCACGCGGCGTGGAATAATGCGATTTTGGAATATTCACTCGGTATTCTATAAGTTCGACCGGAAAAACACGTGCGTTTGAGAGTGGACACGCGAGCCAGCCAGTTAATGGGCACTTGGAATGTACGTGCGATGGCTTGAAATTCCGTTGGCAAGCAAGTGACTTTATACAGCGAATCAATTGAATAGTGTGCAAAGACTCGTTATGGTAAAATATAAACGTGTATAGCTTTGCTTACCATATAATATGGACACGAGATGGAGATTTCGACACGGAGAATATATGTAGAGTGTCTTCTTAGATAAATGATACCGTTTGAGTATCTGATTCTATACAAAAGCAATCGACACACGGCGGCAGTGTTAGAAACAAAAAAGGCATTCTTATACATGAATATATATATGTTGAAGGGGACGAGCGCGAACGCAGGTCCCCACTACCAGAAATTATACGCTCGAGTTACCCACATTAGGGGTAATCGCAGGAGTCAACCCAGTCGAAGTGCAATGAAAGGACCTCATCCTGAGAGGACCTCCTAGTTGATCAAGGTGCCTCTCGCGTCAGGTAAGTATGCTGTTGTTTGCGCCGCTCACCTTATATACGCGATGATGATGACACGCGATTGTGGTACTTCGGGGGTTTCCCTCTTGTCTTGAACGTCATGTGCCGCGATCTAGAGAATGAAAAAGTATGTTAGTTAAAATTAGATGTAGTGGATTCGGTTCATAGCTGAACGAAAACACGCTCACAAGGCCGGTGTGAAATATCGGCATAGGATAAATAATAAAGTGTTACAAGTCATATGATATGTATGTTATATATGCATGAGAAAGCCATGATATATTATTTCACGTGGTATTCGAGTATGGCGTTAATATAAATCGATCGGCATGTGAAAAGTACTTAAGTGTGTGTAGTCGTCTAATAAACTAGAGATTGCTTTATAGTTTGATTTGAAATGAAAAAATGTTCTTCCCCGAGTGGGGAAGGGGCCGTACTCGGATGTAGTGCAATACCGAGACAACCCGTGGCCAGGGCGAAGCAAGCTTCAATCCCATGGCCGAAGTCCAAAAATCAGTTTAATATATGAGTTAGGCATTGCCTAACATATCAGATATTAAGCTGAAAAGAACAGATACTACACTTGATCTTAGCCAAAAGGCCGAGAAGCGATGCCTTCTTCGCCGTTTGCCACACATATTTCTACCGAACATTTGTGCTACGAAAACGCGGTGAGAAGGAGCTCGCTTGCGAGCGATCATGACGTCGACAGGCGCCTGGTTACTCGTCGCACGAGCACGGCAAGTCCGTGATGATCGCCCACCGCGACTCTGGCGGTTCTCTCGCGCACGCGCGTGTGGTCGCGTAGAGGGGCACGGCGGCCGTGTGGCATCGAGCGTGAGACGAGAGTTGCGAGCGTATCGGCTTTCGCGCTCTTCAAAGATTCACGAATGCGTCGAGCTTCTTTCACTCGCAAACTGTGTTGTGACCCGGAAAGGTTTCTGGTCACGCGGCGTGGAATAATGCGATTTTGGAATATTCACTCGGTATTCTATAAGTTCGACCGGCAAAACACGTGCGTTTGAGAGTGGACACGCGAGCCAGCCAGTTAATGGGCAATTGGAATGTACGTGCGATGGCTTGAAATTCCGTTGGCAAGCAAGTGACTTTAATATACAGCAGCGAATTAATTGAATAGTGTGTGCAAACACCCGAAGTGCTTACAAAATATAAACACGTGTATAGCTCTTTACTTACCATGTAATATGAACTGGAGATGGAGAGATTTCAGCACGGAGAATATATAAAGAGTGTCTTCTGTGATAAACGATATGTTTGACATGGGATTCTATACAAAAACAATCGACACACACGGCGGTGTTAAGAAACGAACACGGGCTTTATACATGAATATTATATGTTGAAGGGGACGAGCGCGAACGCAGGTCCCCACTACCAGAAATTATACGCTCGAGTTACCAACATTAGGGGTAATCGCAGGAGTCAACCCAGTCGAAGTGCAATGAAAGGGCCTCATCCTGAGAGGACCTCCTAGTTGATCAAGGTGCCTCTCGCGTCAAGTAAGTATGCTGTTGTTTGCGCCGCTCACCTTATATACGCGATGATGATGACACGCGATTGTGGTACTTCGGGGGTTTCCCTCTTGTCTTGAACGTCATGTGCCGCGATCTAGAGAATGAAAAAGTATGTTAGTTAAAATTAGATGTAGTTGATTCGGTTCATAGCTGAACGAAAACACGCTCACAAGGCCGGTGTGAAATATCGGCATAGGATAAATAATAAAGTGTTACAAGTCATATGATATGTATGTTATATATGCATGAGAAAGCCATGATATATTATTTCACGTGGTATTCGAATATAAATCGATCGGCATGTGAAAAGTACTCAAGTGTGTGTAATCGTCTAATAAAGTAGAGATTGCTTTATAGTTTGATTTGAAATAAAAACAATGTTCTTCCCCGAGTGGGGAAGGGGCCGTACTCGGATGTAGTGCAATACCGAGACAACCCGTGGCCAGGGCGAAGCAAGCTTCAATCCCATGGCCGAAGTCCAAAAATCAGTTTAATATATGAGTTAGGCATTGCCTAACATATCAGATATTAAGCTGATAAGAACAGATACTACACTTGATCTTAGCCAGGCTCTCATGCTATTCCTTGTTCGGATTTGTCAACGTTTTAGTTAGAACATAAGCGGTTATGATATAGTGCTGACTATGCATTTTTGTATTTACTCATTGAGACCGAAAAGAATTATGGGATAGCCGTTGGGAAATTTGGCGTGCGACATAACCCCCCGCCAAAAAAAATAAATTTTTATAAGTCTGGAGGCAAGTAAGAATTGAAAATCCTAGGTAGGCTAGAGCGGTTCAATCACATTTGTATCTTATAAAAATGAACTTAGTTTCTCACTTTTATATTTTGTCTTGCCTCCACACAGACTAGACCAACCAGCTCCGACCACTTGGCGCCATTACAGTACTTTGTATGGCTCGAAATTCATTATAACTTTTACTAAAGTGGCTTTTATTTGCACGGTTCTTTGTGCAAACAGGACAAGATCATTGTACTTAATGATGTACTCCCTCAACCGGTTGGAAAAGTCTTTATATTTAGCCTTTCTATTGAATTTCGGCAA